CCTTCGTGGGGGGTCTACCAATTACAAACTCGAGGCTTAATTGAGAGCGCGGGGGCGGGGGGGAAGCACTGCCTCAGTTTGCGTTTCAAGTGATAAACCTTCCCGGACATTGCGGCCGAAGGAGGTTCAAAGGTTGCAGGTGGATTGGAACGCGATGACCTTTGACCACGATTGGATCGCTACAAACCTTAATAAAAGGGAGTAGGGAAAAAAAAGAAGAAGGCTACCTTTAAGCTCCCCCTCTCAAAAACCCTTTTTCAACGGCCAGGGGTTTAATTTTTGGATTCTACCCCCGCCCGACCCGCTTTTCCGGGGGACAATGGGCCGCTCCGGGTCAGTCCCACGATTATCCAGGGCGTAAATTTGCCTTTTTAAACGGACGGTCGTGTTGATAAAAAGAGAGAAAATAATAATGGCCACGCTCGGTTAATTCTCTTATCAAACGCTTTTAAAACAGTGTTTTTCCCGGCGAGAGAGGAAAAATAAACGTCATTTCTGTTTATCAGTGAAATGTTTGTTAGAGGTAGAGTTATAAAACGATCATCCGCTGTTTAATATCGGATAAAACGGTAATAAATACACATTGTGACGTCGACAGGTTATAACAACGCATCCATGTTGAAACGTCACCGTAATGACGTCGATTCGGAAATGTAAAGTCATCCATGTTGAAACATCATTGCAATGGCGCCAACAGGTTAAAACAACATATCCATGTTGACGTCGACAGGTCCGATACGTTTCAACATGCATTTCATGAATCCTCATGATCCAGAAAGTTTCATTTCTAATAAATACAATGAATGAGCACGCTTCGTGATGTCATCTCTATGAGATTCGTAAATTTAAGAGAAATCCGCACTGTACGGTGTCATTGTTATGATTTCGTCCATTGTGAGCTACATATATGACGTCATGTTTACATCCACGACTTCCATTTCTAAGAAATCCTACCAATGAATGGATCAGCGATGACCATCACCATCTGGCCACGTAATCACAGCGTCCATTCATAGCTGTGAGCTACGAAAATATAACGTCACATCTGTTGATGTCCATGATATCTCCTGACCCATAGACTTCCATATATGAGAAATATACCCTTTACGACGTCACAGTCATCCAATCGTATATTGTGAGCTTACGAGAATATGACGTCATATTCGTTGATATCAATGATGTCTCATCATCGAGTTCCATTTCCGGGAAATCCAATGAATCGACCCGCTTTGTGACATCATGATGAGATCCATGAACCCTCGTGGCATCCATGCTTAGAAACCCACACTCTATGACGTCACAGTTATGGCGCCCATCCGCGTGTGAGATACAATATTATGACGTCATATCTGTTGATATCCGTTATGTCAGATAGCCGATCAATTGTCATTTCTGGGAAATCCAATCAATCAAATAATCTTTGGCGTTATTGAACGGCAATTAATGTTCCAACGTAGTTTTCACCGTTTCTCCTGGCATCTCGTGTCGCGCAATTTTTTAAGAAGAGTTTTTGATTATTTTATTTATATGTGTCGACTGAAACGCGATGCGGTGAGACAATCGGCCAGAAATATCCAACCAGGAAATAAGTTTGTGGTTTTGTTTTCTCTGTAGGGGATTTTTTTTTTTTTTTTGGCTCGGGAGCCAATTTAATTTACAAGAGAGTTTTATAAACGGAAAACTAGCAGGAGGGAATTTCGAAGAGAAAAATAAATTAAATTGTGCCTTTTTTGAGTGATAAGCTGAGTGGTATTCCGTGCCAGGGACGGACGTGATCACGAATTATCGGGCTTGATTTGAAAGCGAAAAATTCTTAGATGTTTGTAGGCTTTTTCTGTCAAAGAGAAAAAAAAACACCTTTGGGATTCCGGTGTGTGCATTTATTAGCTCGAATTAAACGGTGTTGATGCTCGTGTATCGATTGATTCGGACAAAGCTTACGATTATTGGGCAGCGTCACATCGATATTTGTGCGATAATCAATCAATTATTGTCCCGGTTTGCCCCATTTTCACGGCTCGCCTGGCTCCGCTCCATTGACCCGTGAAAAGTCCGGTCTCCGTTTTATAGACTGAGGCCGAACGCTCAGTCGGATTTGGAGAAATTAACGTTTAATTAACATTTCCTGGACCCGAGACGATAATGAAAACTGGGAGACGAGGGTTCTGGCATTCAATTTGACCGTGTAAATACCGCACGTGCCACGACATTCTGTCCGAGGAGGAGGACGTCCTATAAAAGGCCGTATAAAAGTGGGGGGGGGTCATGATCAACACATGATCAGGAAGGCGTACCTTTTCCCGCTTCAAAAGACTGCATGGCACATACGAACAAAGCCGTAGATGAGTAGGTTTCTGGACGATCTGAAGACTCAGGTGAGGACCAAACTGCGCTGTTCTTCCCAGGAGAGCATTTGAGGTATATCGACCAAAAATGGATTTACTTGTACAAATTTTATCCTGATTTGGCTTTGAAAGTTTGATTGGAAGTTCTCGCCACTCACATACGCCTTTGGTTGAGCGTTTTGTGGACGATTTTTGGAAACAGAGAGAAACCAAACGAAAGATTTATCCCAAGAGATAATTTGGGGTATTTCTACCAAAAATGAATTTACTCGTCCAAATTTTATCCAGATTTGGCCTTGATAATTTGCTTGGAAATATTAGAAATCAACATACGCCTTGGGTAGAGCGTTTTGTGGTCGGTTTTTGAACCCAGAGAAAAGCCAACCAGCAGAGTTTCATCCAAGGGCATAATTTGGGGTATTTCGAACAAAAATGGACTTACTCATCCAAATTTTATCCAGATTTGGCTTTGAAAGTTTGCATGGAAACGTTAAAAACTACTATTTTTCTTTGATTGGACTTTTGAGGACTTTTGGAGACACAGGGGAGGAGCAAACAGCCCAGTTCGACCCAGGAGAGACGTTGAGGTATATCGACCAAAAATGGCAGTGTTTATCTAAAATCTATCCAGAATTTGCTTTAAAAGAGAACATGTAAAAAAGAAAAACCCGTTGTACCTTTTTGATTGGACGGTTTGTGGACAAATTGTGGATGAAATACCGAAATTTTTACGGTCAGAAATCCGTTTAGACGAGATGGCCTTCTTTAAAACCAGAGATGCTTAGCCTTTTGTTCAGTCTATGGACCATTTGTGGACAAGAGAAACTTTCGACATTACGTCCAATAAGTAGGATGTTTGTTTTTTCAAAAATATTTTACGGCGACTTGCATTCTTTTTTGGTTGGAGAAATGAACCTCCATGAATGAAAGCCTAAAAAACAGTCCAAAATTTACATTGCATAAATAATTTGTGGGCAGAAATGCTTGCCTAGAGGTTGTGCTTGATGAATTTTGGACAGTTAGTGGACACTAAGAACTAGGGTGATAAGGTTGACTTTGGTGCCATTTGTGCATTTATGACCAAAAACTGTCTCTAAAGGAGTTTTAATTATTTTTGGATTGGAGACCGATGCAAGAATTTCCCAACTGTTGGGAATGGACAATTTGTGGACACGAAAAAATTTAATTTTTACCCTAGTTAGGATTAATTGTTGGACGAGAATAGATAACTTGTTAAAAAGCCAAATTTTAATCTGGTGGTCGTATTTTTTTTTGGACAATTTGTGGACGGAAAGTAGGGACAGGACGACCTAGATAAAACGACCAAAGGGTTTTTTCTTAGATAGAATTAGATAGATAGAATAGCGGTCTAAGAGGGCGTCGATGGCCGCAACGGTTTAGCCGTTGACGCTCATCACTGTAAGGTAAAGGTCCCGGGTTCGAATCCATCGGCCCCGCATTCGAACACGACATACTTACAAATGGGCTTTTTTTCGAAAACACCGGCACCCCGAGGGTTTATATGACCTCTGCTATTGCGAACCTTCGCGGAAAAAAAAATAATAGTGGTCTAAGGCGAAATTATTGGTTTATGGTATATTTTGGACGATTTGTGGACGCAAAGGAGTTATAGGTAAAATCTTTTATTCCAGCTCTAGATTTTGGCAAACAATGGTTGAACGATTGAAATTCGATTTGTTTTGTGGACAATTTGTGGACAGAAAGTAAAGCGCGGACGGTACGTTGACAAAGATTTTTCTCAGGTCAGACGTTTGTGGACATAATAGCGGAATAAAATTCTCAGCGATTTTTCTATCGTTCCTATACGGAACGTCGGATATTTTATTGGAGAATTTGTGGACAGAAGGTAGTCCCTTAAAGAAACTTCTCGCAACCCAGAAATTTGTGGACAGAATAATGACGTACAATTCCCAGTGTTATTCCTTCATTTTTGTGGACTATTTGTGGACATGGAGGAGTAACAGGTTGAACTCCACTCCAATTGGATTAGATTTTTAGGAAGGAAATGGCTCAATCATTGTCTCAAAAAACATTTGTGGAGAGAATAATGACATAAACTTCCCAGTGTTTTTCCTTCCATTTTCGTGGACTATCTGTGTCCAAAACTCGCAATTCTTCTTTATTTTGGACAGATTCAAGTTTATGATCTATTTTACGTTCGGTCGAGGATGAAAAATCGTTCCCTTTGGTTCAAGGTTTGTGGACGAGAGGCCGGCCAAAAAGACACCAGACAGTCCGGGCGAAAGGGAAACTTTTGGTATTTGGCCAAAACGTAGGCCCAGATTTTTTTTTCATGGACGGAAGTTAATGTAAAATGTTGGTCAGTTTTGGCGGAAATGATAAGGGGTGGTAAATGGGACATGTTGTGGATAAAAAGACTTGTTTTAAGTTTTTGCGTGTAAATTTCGTTCGAATTTGGTTCGATTTTTTCCCGGCCAAATAGGATTTTGAACGTTAGGACGGGGTTTTAAATTGTTTTGATAAAGGTCAAAAATTAGGCCCTTGGGACCGAAAAAATTGTTAAAAAAGGCATTGTCTCCGGTCTTGGGTTGGATTAATTTTTTTAATATATCCTTTGGTGGCGGGGTGTAAGAAAAGGTCAAAATTTTGACTTTGAACTCTTGGCTGACTTACGGCGGAGCCGAATCTTCTGCGCGGGAATTTGGACGTGTTGCCGGATTCGTAGTGCGTCGCCAAAAAAAAAACACCAAAAATTTTTTTGGTCTGCTTGGCACAGGACACTCGGCGGTTTCGCGGTCCGACCGGCTGCGGACGCGGCGCAAGACTGGGGGCCGTGGCGAAAGGGGGGCCGCCCCTTCTCTACACCGCCGCCCCTCCTTTCACCCCGCGGGAGCTTTCTCAAAACTGCCGGCTATGACGAGGGGGGCGGCGCGAACGCCCTTCCTACCAAATTGCGCAACGCGGAGTCAAAACGACCAAAAGTTCACCGGTGTACTTAAATGGGTCAAAGAACAGGACCGAGTTGGGGAAAGAAAGGCAAACGAACCCACTGCTTGACAGGCTCCTTGTTGATCATGAATCTCGATCATGGGTCATAGATCAACACTTCGTTCCTTAAAGACATCAGAAACACATGAAATCCGAGGACCTCCTTTGGAAGGAAGACATCATAAACCCTTACATTCACGCCCCTTCTATAGCACGACTGATCATAGATCATTAATGAACAATTTACATTTCTTCCCAAACTAAGTATCTCGTAAAGACAGTACTTTATCATAATTTCCTCGTAACTCTACTCACATGAAACCCTTGACGATCTAGATACTGTGATTGATCATTTATGATTCATGATTCATATAGTCACTTAATCAGTCTTTACCCAAAAAACATAACTCATATTGACCGTAATTCCATCTTCATTCAACTCTTTTACCGACCTATGATCAAGATGATCATCCATGATTCATATGATCACGTAGGTGTTAATTGTACCCCAAAATTAAGTATCTCGTATCGACGGTAATTTATGATAATTTCCCCGCAGTTCTACTCAAATCAAACCTTGATGATCTCCATATAGTGATTGATCATTTATGATCCATGATTCATATAGTCACTTAGTCAGTCTTTTCCCCAACTGACAATGATTGGCAACACGTATCGACAATAATGGAAGGTCTTTTCGCTGTGATTCCGGCTTTAAACGAACATTACAGGTTTGAATATGACGATTATTCATGATTCTTGATTTATATAGTATGCGATCATTTGATCATCATCGAAAAACTGCTTAAAAAATGAATGTAAAACCGACTTTGTCCTTTGGGCTTTCATCGTAGCCTCAGTAAACATCTCAGAAAATAACCATTAGATCGTTGATGATTGATAATTGATCCAACGAAGAGAAGTTTCCGAAAGCACCGAAAACAATCAAGCTGATACGTTTTCTCACAGGAAAAAGAGTTTCCGAAAGGGAAGATACAGGTCAGCTGTAAATCGATTCTCTGAACTCCTAATTGTCGAATTGTCGTAAGATTGATGATGATTGATGATTGAAATGACGTTTTCTAATAGAAAAATTTCCGAAAGGGAAGATATAGGCCAGCTATAAATCGATTCTCTGAACTCCTAATTGTCGAATTGTCGTAAGATTGATGATGATTGATGATTGAAGTGACGTTTTCTAATAGAAAAATTTCCGAAAGGGAAGATATAGGCCAGCTATAAATCGATTCTCTGAACTCCTAATTGTCGAATTGTCGTAAGATTGATGATGATTGATGATTGAAGTGACGTTTTCTAATAGAAAAAATTTCCGAAAGGGAAGATATAGGCCAGCTATAAATCGATTCTCTGAACTCCTAATTGACGAATTGTCGTAAGATCGATGATGATTGATGATTGATGTTACGTTTTCTCATAGGAAAAAGAGTTTCCGAAAGGGAAGAAAGTTATAAGTTAGTTATAAATCGATTCTCTGAACTCCTAATGGACGAATTGTCGTAAGACTGATGATGATTGATGATTGATTTCTGTTCTTTTAGAAATAAACATTCCCACGTGTTGAACGGCGAAAAAGTCGGCTTTATTTAACTAAAAACGTAATAAAAAAATCAGCCATAAATCGATTCTCTGAACACCTAACTGCCGAACTGTGATTGTTTATGATTGAGAATTAATGAGCGATTTATCTTTATTTGGAAGTCCAATGATCACTGGTCCTATTGGGAAAAATCTGTTGTTTTTTTATCTGAAAATGTAAATGACCAAAATATCTTTTATGATTGTTGTTTGATGTTAGGTTTTGCCTCAAGAAAAGTAGTTTCCAAAAGGGAAGAAAACCCCAAGTCAGCTATGGTGGGAAAAAATTTGTTCAACCTACCTGAAAATGTAAAAAACGGAAAATATTTTTATGACTGACGATTGATGTTAAGTTTTCTCATAAGAAAGGGAGGAAAGCTACAATTTAGCTATCTATCCTAATTGACGGATTAATACGATTGATGATTGATGGTGATTGATGTTATTTTTTAAATGTAGCTATCCACGGGTTGTGTTGAGGGAAAAATCGGTTTTATTTGATTAAAAATGTTTAAAAAAAGAAAGATTTCGTGATTGATTATTGATGTTGTTTTCTCTTTGGAACAGAAGTGTCCGGAAGGGCTGAAAACTTGTAGCAGCCATAAATCGATCTCAGAACACCTAATTGTCAAACAGACGTACTATTGTTGATGATTGATAATCTTTTAGTTGTGGAACGAACAGTTGTGTGGCGGGAAAAATTCAGTTTGAATTACCGAAAAAACGGTTAAAGGCATGCTAGAAAAAGAAAAATTAGGAAAATGAAGGAAAAGAGGTTTTTGGTACTCACGTCGGGTTATGTACGGAAAAACTTCAGACTGTCTTACCTGAAACAAGACAAAAATGTCAAAAATTATTTTTAAAATGTTTTGAGTTTTGTGATAAAGTAAAAGGCGCTGTGAGTATGGAGAATGAACGACGCCCCTGTTCTACCGGTTTAGCATCGTCAACTTGTTGCCTTGGGCCCAGGGGGCGGACCTGTTGAGCCTGGAAGGCCATCAAAAACCGAGGGTGGAATGTTATAAACACCTGGTTTTCCGACGAAAGAAAAAAATAACAAAATTGAAAATCCAGGCTTTCGTCGGGAAAGCTTTTCTATCCAACCAGCCCGACCGATTTCCAATTAATTTAAAAAAACCCGTTCCTTCTACCTTATTACGAACATTCTTGAAAAAAACTTCTTTTATTAAATCCCTAGGCCTCGTTACAACCTTGGATCCGCTTGTTTCGGCAAAGTTCAACCCCAATCCCCTTCCACCCGGGGGCATCTGCGAACACGCCCTTCCCGCCTTGAGGTTCAACCTTGTCTTAGATCAAAAATTCAACCTTGTCATGAATAAATAAACTTTAATTGGACGAGATGGAACCTCTTCTATCCACTAAGCTTATTCCGTGTGTATGAACCATTATTATTTATTGGAATGTCGGCGCAAGCCGGATCGAATCCCTCGTGTGATTGCGTTACCGCTTCCTACATCCATCTGATCAGCGCTGATTCAATTTGACCGGAGACGAAGAGTAAAAAGTGAATTTTTTCCTCTGAGAAACATATTCTATTCTTTTTTGGCACGTGTGGAGCAATTACTGATTTTCTTTTCGCCCTCTATTCATCGAGAGAACAAAAATATTGAGTTCACCAAATAACCAATTTGAATACGATGACGTCACATAGATAAAGAACATGAGATAACTTTTTTTAATATATANCAACATTACAATTGGCGTTTCATTCGTCTATTTTTTAAAAATTTGTTTTATTTTTTTCTTCAAACTTTGCCTACAGAAAAAGGTGCTTTTTAATTATTATTTGTAGAAAGTGTCCGAATAAAATTTGTGTTCACCAATTAACCGGTATAGCTTTAATGACGTCACATAGATAAGAAGACTAACTAGTAGGGTTGAAAATTCTCCATTGTCGACTCTACTGGGCGTTTTTCCACGAGTGACGTCACAAATGGAGTTCGGTTAACTAATAATAATATAAATATAAGAATGATTACACAGTTAAAATAATGATAGATGGAAAGTTGGAAAATCAATATAAATTCTTTCGACCATACACCTAATTGTGACGTAATTTGTGAAAAAATAACTGACATGTAAATTTTCAATAATTGAGCAAAATACCATTTGTGACTTTTGAATTTGAAAAGGAAAAATAAGTAATCGAAATGTAATTCCTCAACAGTTAACCAAAACTCTGTTTGTAATGTCACTTGAGAAAATCTCGAAATGTAAGTTTTCAACAGTTAACCAAAATTGCATTTGTCACATCACTTGTCAAAAAAATCTAAATGTATGTTTTCAACTGTTAACTAAACTCCATTTGTGGCTTCACTTGAGAAAAAATCGACTTGTAAGAATTCTTGTAAGCATTTGTTATCAAAACTTCATTCGGAACTTGTGAAAAAGTGAACATGTAAGTTAATAATATTAAACCAAACCATTATTTGTGAGGTCTCTAGGGGGAAAAAGTTGTAATTTGTCAACAGTTAGCCAAAACACTATTTGTGACGTCACATGCGATAAAACTTGACACATAAGTTTTCAACAATTAACGAAAATTGCATGTGCATGACTCGTTAAAAATCTCTGAATGTACGTTTTCAATAGTTAACTAAAAAGTTCACGTTTGAAATCATCGTCAAATCCTAAGTGAATTCAAATTGGATAATTAATTGGTGAACGCATGTTTAAAAATTTTTAACTTGGTTATGTAGTTTTTCACTTTTGACCGGGGTTTGTAAAAACAAAGAAGTCTGATATCTAAAAGGTCAATGATTTTACGAGTGAACGACCTGTCTGTGATGAATGGAGGGCTTAAATTGTAAAACGATCGTGCATCGAAGTAATAGTACCTTGTTCAATCATGCGTTCATGTATTAATAAACTTTATTTAAGCGTTAATCCCCTTCCTGAAACCGCCCTCGCCACCCCCTGGGACTTGTTTGAATATCGGCCCGTGTGACCTAGACCTCGGATCGGTTTCGACATCCCCGCCGGGATCGGGGTCACGGAGGCACCCGGGGTCACCGCCGCACCCGGCCGAACCGAGGCGAACCAGGCCGACGGCCGAGACCGACGGTTCGATAAATCGTAAGGGGTTGCACTCGACCATCTTGTTTACGATGCACCCCGGCCATGTTGATGGAAAAGGAGCGAGACGGGACGGACGCAACGACCTTAGGGATGTACGTGGAGGGTTTAACGGTTTAAATTTATCTCCTCGGAGACGAGGGGTGA